AATTAAAATAAAGTTAGTCCTTCAACCGAATGGTGATGCATGTCATCATTTGATCGGATGATTAAATTTATTTTAATTTATTAAAAGTATGATTAAATTGAGAGAATATGTAAATAACAGTGATCAAATATGTAATTATATCAAAATATTTAACGACATTTAACTCGTGTTGATCATATAATTAAATAAAAATGAAAATAATCGTATACTATATTTTTTGAAATAAAAAAGAAAAAAATATAAAAAATCAATGATATAGTTAACCGTTATTTATATTATCCTTTGTTCACACGAACAAAGGATAATAAACGGTGCAAGAAGATCTCAGCTCGAGATCTCCGTTGATATTCTTGTGGATGTTTCATCTGGACCCAACACTCCAGCACTCAAAAATGCTTTTTGTTTTATTCGTGGTACTTGCCAAGTTGCAACCCATTTAAGCATTTTACATTCATACCCCAGTTGTGATTTTTACAATATGTTATGAATGGGTCCGATGATTATAGGCATGGTTGAAGATTACGTAATCACCCCCTTAAGATAATGATTTTTTTAAAATTCTAAAACGTAAAATATTAATTATAATTTAGCTATAAAAAGTAACATTTCTCATAAGAACATTAGAATCCAAATTTATTAATTACTGGAATTAAAGCTGACAAATTAATTAAGGACAACCTTAAAGTTTTTTGAATAGTTCTGCATTTGGTAGGTCGTGGAGCCGAGTAGACGGTCCAATCCAATTGAGTAATGATTCCATCTTAATTAACAAGTAAAGGAGATGTATTGTAATTTGAGTGGACCACAACAAATTTATTAACGAAATTGACATTCTGAAAGAGTAGAAAAACCAGGGCATTGGAAAACAAGATTGGGTCCACGTTAATCCTAATCCGCCACACGTTGGATTGGTCAGCCCAACGATGTCAACGCTCCCACAACACAAAATCAAATCAATTTCCGCTCTGTCCCAAATATAAAAGCAACACCCACCGAATCCTTTTTCATTTCAACTTGTCAAACAAGAAAAGCACAACCCCCAAAACGAAAACGATCGCGACAGAAGAATCAAGATAATTTTAAGGAAGAAATGAAGCTGGTTTGGTCTCCGGAGACAGCATCCAAGGCTTACATTGATACTGTTAAATCTGTAAGCGTCCATCAAACCCTCTGAATTGTGATCCCCGGATGATTATTTCTTTTGATATTGATGATGGGTTTCTCTTCTTTCTTTTTTCTAGTGCCAACTTCATCATGACTCTGGTGTAGCAGAGCTTGTTTCGGCCATGGCAGCAGGCTGGAACGCGAGATTCATCGTGGAGACATGGTCACTGGGTGGCGCCATAGCGACAAGCGTCGGCCTGGCGGTTGCTAGCAGCCATACAAACGGAAGACATGTATGTATGGTCCCCGACGAACGGTCAAGATTAGCATACGTTGAGGCCCTAGAAGAAGCCGGTATTTCAAGGCCGGAAGTCATCGTCGGAGAACCTGAGGAAGTAATGGATGGATTAAACGGCATAGATTTCATGGTGGTGGATAGCCAACGAAAGGACTTCTCCAGGGTATTAAGGCTGGCGAAACTGAGCAACCGGGGCGCAGTTCTGGTATGCAAGAATGCAAATTCCAAAAGTGCTTCAAGTTTCAAATGGAGAAGTGTTACCGACGACAGTGTCCGCTCCGTGTTTCTCCCGGTAGGAAAAGGCTTGGATATTGCTCATGTAGCTACCACCAGCGGAGGAAATTCAAGTTCATGCAAAGGCAAAAGGCGGTGGATCAAACATGTTGATCGACAATCGGGGGAAGAATATGTCATACGAAAATAGAATAATCTTGTATTTCTAGAAGAAAAAAAGTATTAATTGTATGTAGATCTCTTTTCTCGACTTCCTTGGTCTTGACTAATATCTCCAGGAATTTGAACATTGCACAGCAATTTGAACCTGAAAATGGTTTAGAAGTTTCCCAATCCAATCACCAGGTTGAATATTCAGATTACTAATTGTTTTGAAAGAAATTTTACTAATATCACCAGAAATGATGTGCTTTAGCAGCCTATGTTTTCAGGGGAGTTCTATGGTGTGAAGGCCTTAATCTACGGTTAAAAAAAACGTTACTGGTTTTGTTATTATTTTAAATAATAAAACCAGTAAAAAAATGTTGACTCATTTAGGACGTTAGAAAAATTATTCGTTGGGATAGTATATTTATTACACTATCTTTGAGAAGACGTTTAAATCACTCGACATCCTTGTATTATTATTTTATAATGTTTGACTTTCTGATTACACGCAATATGAGGAAAGCATCGTGTCTTCGTAAAGACGTAAAATATTATAGCAAACATCCTATTTCACCAAATAATTTATCCATTACAATAAAAAAAAGTCAGTCTTTTTTCCAATACATTAATCTAAGGAATTTTGTCCACCTATACCAAACTTTTTTTAGTGAGACAACCTTCGATAACAAAAAGGTCTCTTCACTAAATTTGTTACTAAATTTCAACAGTGACAGATTTTATCTTTCAATGATCAATATATTTTGGTAACGCTGAACTCCACTTCAAAATTTTAATGTAGTATTTATATTTGATTTTTCAGTTAAAATCGATAAATGAATCTGATATCTAAATTTATTTGATATTTATGATTCTTTTAGTTCAATTAGGTACATGAAATTAATTCTTGAATCAACTTGATATCTTAAATTTGATTTTTTATTTTAAATTAAATTATTTTGATTTTAAATTCATGTAGGTCAAATAAATTTAAGTGAACTCGAAAAAATTTAAAATTTTATAAAAGAATATATATATTATTTTAAAAATAATAACTAATAAGACCGTAAAAATCATAAATACTGAACTAATCCAAAAAACAATTTAGAGTAAAAAGTCAAGTTCAGATATTTAATTGGACTAAATAAAAGTTTCAAATACTAAATTAAACTTTAAAACCAAACTTTGTTACTAAATTATATATTATCCCAGAAGTTTATTTTAAAACTTTCAGGCTTGTAGAGGATTAGGACGAGAAGCCTAAAATGATTGGATCAAGGTAAATTTAGTCCAATATCATAGGCGGATTAATTATTTAGCTCAATACAGAACCATATTTTTTATTTTGAAAACTACGACATTTGTTATAGTGACTTAGAGTTCATCAAGGGGGCATGTCGAGTTCTAGTAAAATATATTCTTATATATATTGAAACTTGTCACTTTGACGTGACAAATTTGAATAAAAATATTATTTAGATAAATTCGTCATGTGGGCGTAACGAATTTACCCTATACTATATCATTTGTGTATCTCCTAAATTAATTTAGGAGATGGCCTAATAGATTAATTTTTTTACCTCATGGCCTCTTGAGCCCAAAAAAACCCTTGGATCAAATATTATGGATCTTTACTTCAATTTTTTTCTGGGCCTAGATTAACGGAACCCTCAAATCCTTCCTTATTCCATCTGCCCTCTTAATGGATTGGGGGTATTTCTTTTGCAAATTAATTACTATTTTCCTCCAGACTTTAGAGGGGCCTTTTTAGTTTTTCCTTTTTACAATATAGGACAATTATTATATTGGAGGATGAATTCATCATTTTCACAAGATGAGTTTTAGTGATTTTTAAAAAAAAAAATCGTCTTTTTGAAGCGAAGAGTTATTTTAAATATTTTTTAGAACTCATCATGTTAGAATAACAAGTTCGTTTTCTACTATAACAATTTTTTAGAACTCATCGAACAGGAATGACAAGTTTGTTTTATACTATAACAATTGTCCTAGATCATAATTTTTCTCATATAACTGCATGCCCCTAAATTTTGATCCTGCAATAGATTATTTGACTCAAAAGGCCCTTTAGATGTCCTTAACAATAGTTCTTGAAAGTGAAAAAATAGTAAATATGAGTTTAAAATCTCTCTTAGTACGAGATGTATTAACTAAGGTTCTCATTATTAATTGCTTGGTTTTGAATTTAAATTGAAACATTTTCATGCTACATGTTTTCTCTTAGTTACATATTCTCGTAGATCGGGTTCAAGACTATTTAATCTGTCTTCAACATTCGAATCCTTTATGGGCATCAATTATATATCCTACAACTGCTTCATTCTCCTAAACTTGAGCACCATATTCCAACTCTTGGATAATCCTGGACCCGTTTAAGATTGAAATTACTTCATCCTCCCCCTCGCATAGGCCAAAATACCGTACCAATTGGCCAACAAAGGGCGAGCAGAAATCAGGTTGAGAGCTGAACCCCCATGCAGAGGAAATGAAAACAAATGTGGGCACGTACACGTGCTCCAGACAAAAACAAGGACACAACAGCCAAGTCAACGCTCCAAACTTGGCTGGTTCTGTCAGGTCAGTCAGCCTAGCTAGGTGGGTCGCTAGTCGGAGCCGAGGACCACCCTCTCTTAGTTCCATTGTCTCGTATATTTATTAGCCTCACATGCCAGTCTGATTAGCTCCATCGCGGGGCCCCGGGCGGCGACCTGGTTGGTACGTCGTTAATTCCAGTTCAGGGACCACATTATACCCGGTAGAATCAATTAATGAAGGTAGATAAGGTGGATGGTGGTATTTAAGATGGTCTTAAATGTGACATCTTCACAAAGTCCGCAATAAATGTTTCGAGGTCCATGAGTTTAAATCCACTTCTGTTGATAAATTTCAGAAAGATTATGCCCCCATTCAAACTTCAAAATTATTAAATCTACGTTACAGTTTTATTATATAAAAACAATCATCGATATTTATGATTTTAAATCATCAAAAATAAAATAATAAATATTGTAATATATTTGCGTTTGCCTACAGGCTATATGGATCCCTCATCCCTGGTAGTTGTGTGCATGGCTGGCCCCTTGGGACCACGACTCATGCCTTGGTTTTACTATAATTATTCCCTCTTTCCATGGCTAATCAAGCTTTTAACAGAAGTAAGTTAAAAAGCTAATAATAAATTTTGAAATCTTTAAGGATTTTATCAGTAAAACCCAAATAAAAGCGATGAAAACACGAGATGACAAAACCAAAAGACAAACCATGGCTCCATCTTCTTCTTCTTCGTCTCCTTGTTCTGCTTCTTCCTCCAAATCTCCTCCTCCACCTCACCAGTCCCCCTTTTTCACTCCTGTAAGTTCCTTTTCATTGAAGAAGGTCGCTCCTTTTTTTCATTTTCTTTTCTCTTCTTTGAGTAATTTTCTTGTGTTCTTGTTTTGTGGAACAGATTCATGAATGTGAAAGGGAGGGACAAGAAGATGCTAGCCCAAGAGTGAGCACGGACAGAAGGGTGACCCCAAAGCACCTCCCAACACCGCACCATGCTAAAACAATCGGGAAATCCAAAGCCAGGAAACGACACGAGTCTGCTGAAAATGGCGATGGTTCTGTTTCTTGCAACAAGTGCAGGCCTCACTCCAGGGAGAAGATCTCCGTTGTTCCTTTGGACAACAACAATGGAGTTAGCAAACACTACTTTTCCATGGCAAGTCCTAATGGGATCTTCAAGTCCATCTTCCATTCCTTAACAAGAAAGAGTCCCAAATCAACTGACTCGTCAACACCCAGAGAAGAGCAGTGGAGAATTGCTGTTGCCGAGCTCACACACAAGCTTATTCAATCTACAAGAAAGAAAGACGAAGCAGTGCAGGAGGCTTCGAGGTTGAAGCACACCATGGCTGAGCTCGAGAAGAAGCTCAACAAGCTCGAAGTTTACTGTCATAACCTCAAGTCCGGCCTGGATGAATGTAACAGCAACTCCCCTTATAGAATGGGTAAAGCTCATAACATTCATCAACCCAAGAATCATGATGGGGTCATTGGAGCTAATGAGAAAGTGATCCAACAGTTCTTGATATCATTCTCTGAAGCCAGGTCTTCAATCAGACTTCTAAGTAGATCACTCAGCATGCAGTTAAGGCACATGGGCAGCAAAGTTTGCGAGAGAATATCTCTGCTACTACAGCCTTATGATATGAAGGTTTCTCACTCCAAGAACCCCAAAAGCCTTCTCCTTTACCTCGAAGCTCTGTTGAACAATGCTTTCTTTGAAGATTTCGAATCCATTGGGTTTCAAAAGAATGCAGTGAACCAAATATTGAACCCCATTCACCGTTGCGAATCAAATTACGGTTCATTCAATGATTTACAAGGTTTAACATGGGAGGAGGTCCTGAATAAGGGTACCAAGTATTTCAGTGAGAAGTTCAGCAAGTTCTGTGACAGGAAAATGAGTGAAATTGTGGCTATGTTGGGATGGAACAGAGCTTGGCCGGAGCCATTGTTGCAAGCCTTCTTCGTTGCTTCAAAGAGTGTGTGGTTGGTGCACCTTTTGTCCAACTCGGTGCACCCTGCCATACCAATCTTCAGGGTGGATAAAGGGTTAAGGTTCGATCCACAATACATGGAGGACATGAGTGGAGAAAGGGCCATTAAATTAGTCCCAAGCATGGTTCGGATCATGATCACACCAGGGTTCTATGTCTATGGCAGTGTAGTTAAATGCAAGGTGATTTGCAGGTACCAGAACAACCTGGATACTAGTTTAATTAACAAGGGCTTAACCCCATCCCCTTAGTGTATTAAATTTAGCCAGGCTTGAATCAAAACATTGGATTTTCCTTTTGCATTTTGTATTATTATGGTGCCAGTTATGTTTATGTGAATGGAACAGGCATTAATTATCTGAAGCGGAAATGAAAACCCACTGTCACATGTAGATTAGATGCTCATCTTGGGAAGTGTTTTTGGATCTTCTATTGTTTGTATGTTTGATGATATTAGTTAATGGTCAATTTGTTGTTCAAATTTCCAGCCTTGATGCTCAACAACACACTTCAAGTGATACTCAGTCTTTTCTGGATATTGTTAAAGAAATTCTATGACCCTAAATATCAACTATTTTAGGTGGAAAGGACCACTCAAGCTAATATTTGAAGGGCATTGTCTGTAGCAATGATTATTCCCTAGTTTACAACATGTTTTTGTTATTTTCCTCTTGGCCGTGACTTTAGTTCTGCTTGTCCATACTCCACAGGGTTCAACTTTAAATTATATGTTAACAGGGTGAGCAGTGAGCATTAATATAATTTAGTTGGCTCTTTCTTGTTTTTAAGCTTTTTCTTGGAAGTTTGTCTCTTTTCTCACCCAACCCAAATTTCTTCCGCGAGTGATAAAACCAAAGCTTCGTTAAAGGTACAATAGTATTAGTGGCCATGACCAGATCGTTTAATTAAGAGTTAACTACACGATTAATAATTTATGTTTGTGTTTTGTCCACTTTTCATCATTGATTTCAAAATACATAATATATATTTACTTTAGTTTTTATTTAATTGAGATGTGGTCACCACGGGTGAATTGACGTTAACAGTTAACAGACTAGGTGATGTGACATCATTCTATCGGAAGATTAAATTTAATTTAATTTATTAAAAATAAGATTAAATTGAAAAAATATGTAAATAACAAAAGCTAAATATGTGATTATATCAAGATATTTAACTTCCACGTCACTATATATTATATTTTTTAAAATTATTGAGAAAATTGGACAAAACATAAGTACAAGTAATTAATAATGCAGTTAATCCTTTAATTAAATAGGATGTGACGAAATAATAGATTTAATTAATAGTAAAATTATGTGTTCAAGCATAATTTAAAAACAACCATTAAACCCACTCGTGTCTCATCTTCTTTTTAACCTTATTGATTTTGTTTTGATAGATAAGAGCCTATATACACACAATGAAAGCAATCCACAGTGAAAACATACCACGTCACCCCACAATGAAATAAAATGTAGTGGATTGCTTTCATGGTTTTTTCTTCTTCTTTCAAATCGTTAATTTCGTTAAAATAAAAATTGGCAACCAATAAAAACATACCACGTCATCCCACAATTTTAATATTTACTTTTTAAATAAATGAAAAATATTTAAACAATAAAAATATGCAATATGACAAAATACCCTTTTTTCCGTCACCTCCACCGTAGCACTGTCCTTCCTTTCTCAACTCCAACACCTCTCTTTCCCCTATATCCAAAAAAAAAATCCTGATGGGAATCAAGCGTGAGGAGATGCGAAGCTCCATTCCAGTGTCAGTTATGGTTACGAATCAGAGAGAAACTATGGTCAATCTAAAACCGACGTTTGGCTCTCTTAAACAACTCCTTCAACGATCGCCCTGTCAGGTCCATGTTAAGAAACTAAGATTTCTTCCTATAAACAACGACAACATCTCATTGCTAGAAACACGTTTACTGGCATCACCTCTATTTTTTTGTGGGTCGCCGCCGAACAAAGTAGCTAACCCATCAATACAAGATGCTCGATTTGGGTATGATATGGTCATCACCCCACTTTTATCGTTATTTTCGATCCCACCTCCTCTGGCTTGTCCTCATCTCCATCATCCAATTCAAGGAAAAGAAGTTGAAACAAATCAGTGGTAAAAGTCGAGGGGTTCGGTTGCCTCGGCAAGGAGCAACATCCTGCATTGGCTTAGAACCAATTTCAATCTACAAAAGATCACATAGATAACGATTAAGAGGGGCAAAAAGTTGAAACATGACATGGTTTATAATGGGGTTAATGCTTTTGGCACAACTAGGGCCGTAAATGAGACGAGACAGATCGCGAGCTACTCGAGATTGACTCGATCAAAGCTCGATAAATACTCGGATCGAATGGACTCGACTCGATCTCGAGCTCGACTCGAGTTCTTAACGAGCCGAAACGAGCTACTCGATATTCGACTCGAAAAGCTCGTGAGCAGCTTGAAAATATAATATATTAAGATTTTATTTTTTTAGAAATAAATTATTAATAATATTAATATTTATGTATTGATTTTTTTATTAAAAAAAAATACAGTAAGATTTCTTGTATTTAAGGTTCATGTTCGAGTTTGAGTTTGAAGCTTCAATCGAGTTAAGTTTAATAATTTTTTTTCATTTCGAGCCTTTTCGAGCTGCTCACGAGCTTCAGTTTAGGATTTCGAGTTCGAGTCGAGCTTGAAAATTTTAAGCTCGCGAGTTTTCGAGTCGAGTCGAGCTTCATTTCAAAGTTTTCGAGTCGAGTCGAGCTCAGCAATACTCGAGCTCGACTCGGCTCGTTTACACCCCCTAGGCACAACATCATTATCTTCGGTGTTGAATTTTGGTGGTCTTTTTGAAAGGAGAATGAGGTGAATAGCAAGGAGTAGGGGTATACAATATCAATGGAGTTGGAGGGAGTGATGGAGAGGGTAAAGAAAGTTGGAGAGATTGGGGTACATAGTGAATAAAGGGAAAAGAGGGATGTTACGTTGGGAAAAAGGAAGGTAATACTACGATAGAGGTAAAAAAAAAAGTATTTTTGTCGTATTATTTATTTTTTGTTTAATTAAATTTCATTTATTCATATAATAAATATTAAAATTAAAGGGTAATGTGGTGTGTTTTGATTACTCATCAATTTGTTATTTTCACGGAATTAACAATTTAAGATAAATGAGATGCCAATTTAAATTTAAAAATTAAACGGTAAAAATATTTTAAATGACAACTTGATATAAATAATATATTGTTGTTTGGGGATAGTACATTTAAGAAAAATGAAAACAATAAGCCCACATCTTATGGATTGCTTAATTCGAAATTGAAGGTATTATTTTTCAATAAATATCTGAATTTTATATACTTGATTAAGCGGATAATATCATACATGTACATTGATTTTATACAATTCTATAAATATTTAATTTATTTAATTTATATAAATAATTAAATTTATTATTAATATAATACCATTTTATAATTATATCTAGAGAATATGAAAATAAATATATAAATTATTTTTTAGAATATGTATAATTAAATTAATATTAAATTTTTATTTGTATAATTGAATCAAAATTAAAGTTTTATAAGTATAATTATGTCAACTGAAAAATTATATATCTTATTATACATTTAACCAAAATTAATCCTTTACTGAGCCCTATTATCTTGAATGCAGTTTCCATTCTCACCCACCGATTGAGAATTCACCGATGAGTCACTCTCGGTCACATTTACACCGTTCACTCCCGCCTCAATTGGACCATCTTCATATGTTACGCCCACCAAACATAGGCCCATACTTTCAGTATCCATGTTAACTGCAACCTGCCCCATATTTTTTAACTCCATAAGCCCCATGCAATTAGACGATATGTAACATAAAATTTTAATTTAGGGCGAACACAAATAAAATTTTAGAATAGAAAATGTCAATAAATTTAATAACTAATCGAAAGGAGTAGATGATGACCATGTTGGGTATGATGTTATTCATGTTGGCTTATTTTGATGATCATGTAACTATGTGATGGTGTTGGACTCTGGTGTTCCTTTGTTCCTCTTTTCTACTCCATTCCCATCACTGCTTACTCTATTACCAGTATAATTTGAATATAACATTCATATCATACATTGTCTTGTACTCAAAGTTGCTCAATTGTATCATTCTATACCATGCACCTAATTTAAAACTCTAAATTATAAATCATAAGTTAGGTTATGGTTTAGAGATAATAGAACTATGGTTTAGGATTTTAAGTTAAGGGAAGGATATATGATGATACAATTAAGCAATTTTGAGGGTTAAATTGATGCGAAAATACGATAGAGACGAAAGTGATAAATCATACCTACTAGAGAGGCAAAGATAATCCTTAAGTCTAAATAAAAAGTCAACAAAATGTATGTTGAACCATGTTTTATAATATTTTGATATAACAAATTAAGACAAAATGTTTTTGGACTTGATTGAATTTGTTCAAAGTTTCAAAAATAATTCAAAGTCCATTAAATTAGAATTTGAGCACAAAACAATTTTTCTAGGTACGTAACAGTATTGATATTGTTCATGTGGTACTGATACCACATGTAAGAGAAGTATCAATACTCTTTAGGTAGTATCGATACTACCAGTTATTTTCCAAATTGCTCAAATTCCATAATGCAAAATAGATATTGATACCCAAAGGGATACTGATACTACTTTACATAGTGGTATCGATACTATGAAGCATAGTATCGATATTGGTCAAGCCCAACGGTCTTCAAAGACTAGTTTATTTAAATTTTAAAAAGGTAATATTGATAATCATTAAAGGAGTACCGATACTCCATATTCTGGGCAGTTTTATTTTGTAGAAAATTAATCCCCAACGGCTCCAAAACATCCCTAAAGGCTATAAACGGCCACAAACTCATTCCAACATATAAAAATAAGTTGAGGACACTTGAAGAATGTTGGACAACACCTATCCAAGCAAACAAATACAAGAGAAGAGCTTTTCATTTTTATTTTACTTTCACTTGTAAATATCAGTGTTTTTGAGCTCATTGCAAATCTTTTAATTGTTTTCTTGTGAGCTTAAATCTTGTAAACACCCTACCTTTAAGAAGTTTTCTTGTTTTAAACTTGTAAAGGGGATTGGTTCTATCTTAGCCTTTGAAAACCTAGGGAGTTGTAAAGGTCATCTATTTGTCTTGGAAAAAGAAAGAAAAAAATTAGTGAATTGTTATAATATCCTAAGTGAATTAGTGATTTTATAGTGGTTTTAGCTTAGCCTTGAAAAGCTAGGGAGTTGTAAATGTTATCTCTTTTATTGATAAAAGAAAGAACAAATTAGTGAATTTGTTAGAAAATCCAAGTGCTGAACTTAGGTAGTGGATGTAGACTTGGTTGAGAAGTTGAACAACTATAGATCCTTGTGAA